GAGCTACTAAGAATAGTTCATATTCTACAGTTGTTGAATGGAATGTTCTGTAGATGTCTAAGTTTACTTGGTCTTTAGTTTTATTTAACTCTGTTGTTGCATTGTTGGATTTTATTTTTTTATTTTTTTGGCCTGGATGATACGGAACACTGAAGTTATTCATCATTGTATTGTGGCCTACTGACTAGTGCTTATTTTCTGAAACTGAGAACTCTAATATTCCACGCAAACAAATTAACAATTGTTAAACCTTCTTGGTAAATATTCCCTTTACTACTATGTAGTAACTTTTGCCTCCTATGACTAATTTTGTGCACGAGATATGACTATAGATACTATGTTCACTTTTGGATTCCATTTACAGGGAATATTGTTTTCCATCGTTTCATCAAAAAGCACTTTTTTTTTTTTTACTAAGAAGTTTTTACTAAAAGGTTCTTACCTTTTAAAGGTTCTTACCTCTTAGTAAAGTATAAATTACAAGCACTTAAATATAAATTTAGCAAAGTATAAATTACCTATATGACCTATTGTTATCCTGAAAATTCTTATATACTTTTGTATATAAACACAATTCCTAATAACTCTATATGCTATATATTTTAGTCAATCCTAGCAATATAAATTACTTGAAAAAATGGCAAGTTACTTTAAAGAAGTGACATTACAAAATATAGAAATGGCGGGCCAGGAAGATAGCTCAGTAGAATAAGCGCTTCCTGGCAAGTGCAAAGGCCTGAGTTCAATCCCCGGTTCCACAAATAAATAAATAAATAAATAAACAAAATATAGACATGGTTTATAGACATGTTTAAAAAATGACCATTAACTGTGCTGGCCAAATAGCTCAGCGGACTAAAGCACCTGCAAGCTGGGGTTCGATCCCTGGGCCTGCTGTGCCAGCCCTGCCCCCCAGAGCGCGCTGAGATGGCGATTGAGTAATCCCAGCTCTTGGGAGGCTGTAAACAGGCAGATCATTAGGAGTCTGATCTAGTAGTGAGACCCTGAACACCCTATACACCATTCCCTAAAAATACAAAAAAGACCATTAACTTTTATACCACCATTTTTGCCTAGCAAATTCCTTAATTTATGAGAATGCAAATCATATAAATTTATAATATTTAAGAGAGACTGTTCAAATTTTCATGAGCAAAAGAAATCACTAATTTATGTAAGGAAGGAAAGGGGAGGAATTATTTTCTTATGTAACTGTTTTTCAAAATGTTTTTAAACTATTACAATATTCACTGTTTATTCAATATCAATTCCATACCTGCTTCACATGTGATTGTAAAAGTAAAGATGTGCTTGATTCCTCAAAATCTAGCACCTCTGTTTATAAAAACTAAAAATACCTAGCAAGCTGGAAGCCCTGGGTTCAGTCCTCAGCACCAAAAACAAAAAAAATTTCTAAAAGCTGAGATAACTATAAAAAAAAAAAACCTTAAATATTTACTAAAAATAAGTTAAACTAAGTAAACTGCTAGTAGTAAACTAAGCATATTGCTTAAAATAATTCTGTCTCTTACTCTAATAAACTACAGGAAAAAGAATCAAATTTAATTTTACTAACAAAACAATTCACATTAAAATCACTTCATTTTCTCTCATTAAGTTAACAAAAGAATGATAATATACAGTATAGAAAACAGTATGATTGCATGCACACTTCTATAATGACACTGAGAAGTATGATAGACTCTTTCCGGAGAGCAACTGGACAATAACTACCTAAACTCTTAAAGGTGCCCTACTCTGATTTCCTCTCATAGTAATCTATCCTAAAGAAGAAATAAATATATAAAAAGATGTAAAGAAGATGTTCACAGGACAGCTATTTAAAATGTCGAAAACTAGAATTTTAAATAATAAGACATTTAGACAAAATCCAAGATGGTTAACACGTCAGGTGCCTCAGCAGGGTCTTGACACATAATCGAAGGCTTAGTCTTTCCAAGATGATTCATCTTTATCCTTGTTCTGTAAATGTTCAGGTCCCAACAGATACTTTGCTGCTGCTGCTACAAAGCATGCAAAGAAAGCCAACAAAGTTGCCAAAGAAAAAACACCAAAGGAAAAGAGAGATGAGATAGAAAAAATAAAGTCATACCCATACATGGAAGGTGAACCTGCGGATGATGTCTATTTAAAGCGCTTGGGGCCAGGAAGATGGCTCAGTGGAATAAGCATTTCCCTGGCAAGAGCAAGGGCCTCAGTTTAATCCCTGGTTCCACCAAAAAATAAAACAAAATAAAATAAAGTGTTTATACCCACAGCCCATATATATGAGGTGGAAAAAGCTATTCACTTACTTAAGAAGTATCACGTTTTGGACTATACTAATTCAAAACAAGGAGTTTTTCTTGATTTGACATTGGATATGGCACTGGGGAAAAAGAAAAGAGTGGAACTATTTGCCAGCGTTATTAGTTTTCCATATCCATTCTCTTTGGAATCCAATAAAGTTTCTGTATGAACAGGGAATCCATCAGATACTAAAATGGTAGACGACAAGAAGCTGCTTTTTCAGGAGGAGCTAATCTGATCCAGAAGATTTTAGATGATGAAATATATGCAGATTTTTATGTAGCTGTACCAGAAATAATGCCTGACCTTAATCCATTAAAGAAACTGAAAAACAGATTTCCAAAGCTCAGTAGAAATTCCATTGGCCATGACATTCCCAAAATGCTTACCTTATTTAAAAATGGACATGAAATTAAGGTAGATGAAGAAAAGAACTTTCTTACAACCAAAACAGCAATGCTGGATATGTCACATGACCAGATAGCAGTCAATCTGCAGACAGTTATTGATGACGTCTGCAGGCACAGACCACTAAATCTGGGTCCCTTTTGTGGTCCATGCTTTCCTTCATAGTTCAACAAGTGAAGGTTTACTATTAAAGATTGATCCATTTTTGCCTAAAGTAGAAACTGAAGAAAATAAAGAAGCTTCCTAAAAGTATTGAATTATGAAATTAATTTGTGTGGACTAAGAAGCAACAGAAAATTATAAAACTATATTTATTTATTTATTTTTATTTATTTTTTTTTTGTGGCACCAGGGATTGAACTCAGGGCCTTGTGCTTACTAGGCAAGTGCTTATTCTACTAAGCTATCTCCCCAGCCCAAAACTGTATTATTTCTAAATAATAATAATAATAATAATAATAATTAGACATTTAAATCTAGTGACCAAACCTTTTCTCCAATGGAATAGACTAGATTTAAATGTCTCAACTGAGGAGTAAACAAATGGGATGTGACCTTCTGTTTGTACAGCACCATCTTCTCTCATGCTATATGTCTACCTAGTCAAGGTGACTTCTTGCTGAAGGAAATGAGCCTTGATTCATATTGGTAGAGGGGTTATGCCAAGAAACAGAGCCTACAAGCCTAGAATGGGAAAGAAAATCTAAAGGTTTTGAGGAAATACTATAGAATGTTTTGGCTGAGATAGAAAACTGATTTCATTGGAGTATAAAGTGCAGGAAAAAGAAAATCTATTGCCAAACTACAAAGAATTCTGAATGTTAAAACAAATTCAATACAACAGTCAGTAAAAATTTTTAAAGGTATTTCACTTAAAAGTTGTTTAGTAATAGTCATTTTGGGGCCAATGAGATAGCTCAGTAGAATAAGCCCCCGCCTGACAAGCATAGGGTCTTGAGTCCAAACCCCAGTACTGCAAAAAAAGAAAAAGAAAAGTAATAGTAATTTTGCAAGTGTCTTCATTCATAAACCAGAAATAATTACATAAGCATTGATAATAGTTTAGGAATAAATATAGTACAAAATTATATTGTCTTCAATATGGAAACAATGATACAAGGAAACAAATGATAAAGTTTGGTAATAGCTAAGATATACATCTCTGATAAGAGGGCAAGAGTAATAATGTTAACAAACGATGAAATGAAGCAGAACTGTTTTTTGTTTTTTTTGTTTTTTTTTTTTTGCAATGGTTTCTTTCCTTCTGCTTTACATATAAAATTGTCTTGATGGGAAAATGAACAACATTCCCTCAGCTGACTCTCCTATCAACAATCCTTTAACACTAACACTGAAAAAAACCCACAGCAAAGCCAGACATGATGGTGCACCTGTAATCCCAGGACTTGGGAAGCTGAGGCAGATCATGGTGAGTTTGAGGCCAGCCTGAGCAACATAGTGAGTTCAAGGCCAGACTGAACTACAGAGCAAGATCCTATCCCAAAAAAGCAAACAAACACATAAACAAATATGCCACATGTTAGAGAAGGGCTACCAAAAAAAAAAAAAAAAACAATTGGTACTGCTGTAATTGGTCCATGTTACTTGTTCTCTTACTTTGAATCTTTCTCTTTAAACTACCACAT